CCTGATATATATTAAAGATTAAAATCTAATAACAGTGGTCTTATTATTTTGTTATAAAAAGAAATATATATAACTACTCACTTTACGAAATGGTTGAGCAGGAAGTCAATGCAGTTCTTGTTGAGGTCGGGAAGTTGCGCGTAACATTTTAGCAGCGCGTGCCGCCGCGTGTGTGCCGGTCCTGAGTCCACTGACGTGCCCACGCCCTGATCAAAAATTAGTTTTTAATATTTTAACTTTCGTACAGTATACGTCTGGACTTAGCTATACTATACTGGGCTTATCCCCAACTTACAATAAATATATAATCTACATGGAACTGCTTTCGTTTAATGATTGATCCAAGCTCCATCTATAACTTTCTTTCACCCTTATTTCTATACCTATAAGAGATGAGAGATATTAGCTTACCTGTGCGGATCCCCAAGCACGCAGCAATTCAGGGTAGAGAGCGTCGGTGAAGAGGGCTTCGGGCAGCTCGCGCAGGTACAGCTTGAGTACGCCAGTCACCGAGTGGATATCAACCTCCTTCAGCAGCTGCTCCGCCTCATACGCATCTGACAACGCATGTACTTAATGAACATCGATATTTTCAAAACTAAAAGATATGTGTTTATATTAAATTTAAGAAACCAATATTAAATTGTCTATAAACAAAATAATAAAAATGACGATATGTATACGTACTGGTCTCGAAGCTCTTCTTGAGTCTGTTGAGGTCGGAGGCGCTGCCGGAGACGCGGTACACGCCCACCTCGTGTATGCCGCGCCGCTCCACTTCCCGCACGCACGCGCTTATTATGAACGGAATGTTGCGTTTCTCGCGTCTGTATATACAATTGATTAATTAACAACTCTCTTTATACTCTGTAAAATTGCAAAAATTATAACTACTAGTGTCAGCCAATCAGCTGGTTAAATCATTATCATGCAAAATAAAAGACTTAAAGAAAAGTGTACTAACTTGGCGACATGTGTAATCTTGGCACCGAATAGTGCACCGGGTTTGGCGGAGGGCACGCGGCGCGAGGAGCGCTCAGGCGGTAGCAAGCGCAGGCGCAGCGGCAGTGACCCTCCGCCCAGACACACCGTGCGTGACACGCCCCCGCTCGCGCTCTCCGCCACCCATTCCTTTGATAACTACAAGTTTCTCTTAGTAACATTAAATCTTTTAGACCTTAGCTTAGCTAGCCTTAAGATTTTAAGACGTTCATTGTAAACACTCAAACAAACTTTAGACTAGACGTACAACTTATTACATTACGACAAGTAGTCTAATACAGTGTCAGAAAACTTATACAAAATAAACTACTTGTATCAACACGTCGCAGCAGTGTGAACTTTAGGTAAGGCCTACCTTGAGCGTGCATTTCCCCCGCAGCACTGGTCTGGCTGCATCCTCGTACAAAAGTAGACGCAGGTTCTGCGAGCCCTCAAGGTCCAACGTGAAAGTCTCGTTCCAGCGCGGCTGCGCGCTTCGGCACACCAGCTTCGACTTGGCTTTGCGGAAGTAGTGCCCATACGAGTCCACCTCCACCACAACGTAGTAATCTAACAATACATAACACGCATATAATTATAATAGATCGACAGTATCCATCATTATCAGCCATTGTTTTGCAAGGAGAGGGTTAACTGAATAAAGATTGGTACTTAGAGTATTCAGTGGAATACTCCGTGCGCATTTCAGTGTATAATCACACGGAGGATTGGTGTTTCCTTTATTGATATAATTATGATGCAATGTGTACCGGCGGCGGTATCGAGGGGCGCGGTCATGCCCCCAATGTGCAGCTGCAGGTCGCCGAGAAGTAGCGAGTCGTCGCGGCCGCTGCGCAGCAGGTACGAGCCCATGTCCGTCTGCAGGTAGCTGCGGCACGCCGTCACCCACGCCTGCAGCTCCAGCATTGATATCGCATTCGACCCGCCAGGGGGCGCTGACGACGCCTACGCAAATTATTAAAAAATAACCAAATAATAAACATATTTTTGTGTTTACGGACAAAAATGTTTTACCATTATATAAAGTAAAAATGTAAGACCTGTAACGCGTGTATGGAATCAATCCACTGCGTGCGCTCGTACTCTGAGCTAAGGAAGAAGATGTGCTGCCGCTGCAGCGCAGCGGCGCCGGGCGGCTTGGCGCCAACGCGGAACACCAGGTTGGGCGAAGCCAGCACTAGCTGCCCCTCCAGCTCCGTTAGCTTCTTGCGCTGCTTCTCCGCCGCACCACGACCGCCGATTCGGATTTTCTAATAGACAATATACAATAAATCACTTTAAATAGAGTTGTGGTGAAATTATTTTTTTTTACATATTACCATTTAATTCTTATCTCTTAAACAAAATGTAATTTTACGTATGTTGATTTAGTTAAAATGTAAATAATAAGTATTGTCTAGAAATTATAGTAATTTTGTTGTGGTAGGGGTAGGGTACCTTGTCGTCGTGCGCGGCGCGCTCCTCCGCCAGTATCTGGTCGCGCACGGTGGAGGCCTGCGACTTGAGCGCGACGATGTTTGCGGGCGATGTCTCGCGTGCCTCCGCCGCCGCGCCCGCGACCGCGCTCTCCTCCTCCACCACCACGATCTCCGGCAGCGGGATGAACCATTTAAGCTCGAACGTAAACTTGTCGCGACCTGACGCCTAAGCACAACATATACATTATATTATGAGCTTTACTTACATAAGTAGAATCTGTTGACATTTGATATTTATTTTGGTTTAATTTTTCTCACACTCACAAGGGTAATGAGGACTAGTTTATTGGGAGGGAAGTCACCTACAAAAAAATAGTATTTATAATTAAAAATTACCTTGTATTTGGCACAAGCGATGACGTCATTAAAGAGGAACAAATGTCTCAGCTTCCTGTGGCCATCCGACAACTCAACAATAAAGGAGTTCTTCACGAGTCGTCTCTGCGCGCGATCGGCATTCTGTTAACCAAATGAAGTCAATGAATTATTTAGCACCAGAGATGGAATCGATGTGAATGAATAACTTATACATACGGGGAAGAGTGATTTTGTCTGTATAATGTTGAATTCATCGAGGAAATGTTGCGTCATGTTCAAGGCGTCCGTCAACATGGCGTGATCTGGGTGACTAGCGGGTGTATATTTTATGAGATCCTGAAAATGTAAATAATTACAGTGTTATCGATTCGGCATAATGGAAAAATTTATAAAAGTGTAATTTAAATACAAAATTTTTGCTAAAAACTTAATTTTTTAAACGAATTTTGACAGATCAGTGTATTTTTATGCACATTCTTATTCTATGAATTCAATATCTTGTGTATCAGATCTCACATGCAGTACGAGGGCATTCTTCTGCACCCTGGCGACGGGCTTGTGGAGGAGGTCGTCGAGCGACATGGGCTGTCCGCGGCAGGCGATCTGTCGCGTGAGGTCGGCGAAGCGCGGCGAGGTGCCGCAGCGTCGCCGCACCGCGTCCGTCGCGCGACCGTAGTTGTGCAGAAACGCACCGTATACGTTTATGTTTTCCGCCTACAAAATCGTAAATATTACATAATAAATATGACTATCCTATCACTACTATAACACTTATATTACAGAAGTAAAGACGTATGTTAAGGGATTTTTGGAACATTACCAACAGATTTCAATTACTTAACGTTCTCTAAGAATAAGGTAGTCAGGGCTTTTGCATTTCTAAACGTTCTAAGATACGGTTATGTGGTATTGTTCGATGAACCATTTCTAAGCGAACTATAGCGTAGCTAATTTATTCTAAATATATTTGTTTCTATATGCACGTAAACATCGTTTACCATCTTTTTGAAGTGGATTCCCACAGAGAGCGGCTCCTCCCAACTAGACACGGCCGCTTTGAGTCCTTCTAGAAAGTTCTTGTGCAGTTCGTGCAGCTCGGATATTTTGTAGAATATCGTATTGAACTCCTCTTCAGTTATCACAGGTTGTGAAGTCGACAGCGTCGCTTTTATTGCATTCATATACTGAAAAAATACCAAAAATAATCACTAAATAATTATTATTCTCCACCGTTTAATTGAAATACCTCATTAGAACTTGTTGAAAAGGTTAAAATAAAATTGATCCCTATTCCTACATAGACAAGGTTCAAGAATTTTTTTTTGTTTTTTTGGCACATATATAAAACTTTTCAAGACTCAAAGTGAAAAAGACATCTTTCTCTTTCTCAAGCTAAAAAAGATTTTTGTGACCATAATAACTTCTCAATTAGTTACCTTTTCCATGACGTATAGACACTCGACGTACACCGTCTCGCTCTCAATAATACTGGTGACGATGCAGCGATGCATCGTAAGCCTCTCCGCCTCCGCATTGCTACTCGTACTCGACTCCTATACAAACATAAAAACAGGCTCTTAGTATTTGACACGTCGGGAATAAGAGTACTGTAAAACCCGACGCCAACTCAATCACCGTGTAAATGTTCAATGAACTAGTGACTAAGCGAGAGTTCAGAGACCCAGATTTCCTTGTCGCAATTCATTTGGATCGAAGTCAATTTAAAATCCAGGTTAAATGGTAGTAGGGTGATGGTTGTTATTGGAGGATATATAATGTACTACGTAGGATATGACTGTAGAGATTTGTCGTTTTAGCAAATTGGAAGGCAATATCAAAATATATAATGTCTTATACAAGTTACAACTACTTCTCATAATTATCTATCGTATATTGTAGCTGTCTTTTTTGTTCGGCTCGATTATGTGCATTTGCACATTTGCCCAATATTAGATTGCTAAAATGTTAGCAATTTATGACATTTTTGGCATAGATTAGAGATTAAGAAAATTGTGAATACTATTGCACAAATTAAATAAATATCATTTAAGTCAACATATGAAAAATATGGTGAAAAAGTAAAAAAAAAGAAAAAATTATTTCTTGCATTGTTGGGTTGCATAACGAGTTGACCGTGAAAAACAATGGGTCTTTAAATCGCGTTGTTTGGTAACAGCTCGCCACTACATAAACATTCCGATTGATCCTTAAAACTGCAACATTAGAAAACATACACTTTGACTTCAGTGCTTAGCTGTACATATACCATGAGTTTGAATTATAAAATATTTTGTACAATATACTTCTGGCTAATTACTACAAATGTGTCAAAGGGCGCTGATTTTACTGGCGACAGTAAGTAACTTATTTTACTTTTGAAATGAATAAAATATATGTTAAACTATAAAATACTAAACGACAGTTCTTTAGCAGGTTATGAAATTAATCGAATAGATTTCTCTCCATTTAATGATGCAATTCTTTTTAATGATATAGCTGAGATAATCAATGATTTCGACAGTACTATGGTACGTAAAAATATAGTATACTTACAAACACATTTTTTTTAATTAGATAATCATAGTGACATTTAAAAATTTTCAATATTTTTTTCGACTGAAATGGGGGATTAAACCATTTAGAATACAAATTGCTTCTATACATTACTTATAATATTTATAACAGTAATTTTTGGTAAAAGTTTGCGTTAAACATTCCAGTATCCCGTAGCCCCAAGCGAAAGTGATAGCGATGAAAATATCGAAGACTTGCTATCTGAATACCAACATTATCTAGACAAAGCGCACAAACAAAAGAAAATCTACGAAGAGAAATTTAAAAGTAAAAACAAAGTGCCAATGTTGCGTCACGAAAGGTTCTCAAAAATCAAACCTTTCCCGACAAATAAATACGTAGACTATTTTAATTCCTTATCTAATCCGTTTACTTTCACGGAAAAATCTTACGATAATAATCAGCTAGACTTCTTTGTACCTTTTAATCCAGACGTAAAATATATTCATAGACCGGAACCATACGGTAAAACTTCATACAAAAATAATCACAACGAGAAAGAGAAAACGATCACAGAGGAGAAGCAATTCATAAATTTACCTTTACTTTCCCCAAGAATAAATTATGATCTTATGAAGTCACCTTGCATTTGCAAAGATAATCAAATACCGTGCGATTGTAATTGCAAGCAATGCCTGATGCCGATCGAAACGACCGGTAACGATAATTTTGACCAATCAAAACACGTAGATTTTGCTGACAACAAAGCCATTTTTTCGCCGATGGCTTTCAACAATGATAACATATTTGAAAACTCTGGATTTTCAAACCGACCTACAACGGCTGATAATGATCTGAATATACGTATTAAGGTTGACATTCAACTACCGAGAATATTAGAAAGTCTTCTAAAACAGAAGAACCGCAGCCAAGACAAAGAATTAGAAAACGATGAAAAAAATTCTAAAGAAGCTAGATTCCTTTTCCATTCGCCTGTATCAAAATTAAATTTTCCTATACCGATAGAAATTTTTGGACTGAAAAAACCAATAAGGCTTAACAAGCATGATTCCACCTCTATGCACAAAATAACAATTCACAAGAAAAAGAAATCAAAACTCAATAACAATGGTAACAAGAAACACAAGAAAAAAATTATTACATTTCACAATATAAAATTTGAACCGCAAGTAGTTCCAGAAATAAATACGAATAATAATATTAGCAATATCAATAAAGAAATTGAAGATCGCGACTCTCAACCACAGTTGCTAACTTTCAACAACACTCAAAATATTAACGAAACAAATGCACTGAATCAAAGTATACCAGATATAGCACCTTTGATAAATACTAGTACAAGCATAATTCACGGAAAAGCATCAGAAATCCCTTTCATAATACATAATATGGATAACAAAACATACGATTTTCATAAAACTGAAAACAGTATAGAAGTAGACTTCGTAAAGACAGTTTCTAATATTTCTACAGCGATGCCTAAAATCTTAAGAAACAGACGCTCTGCTGAAAATAATAAAACGATAACACACGATGAAAAAAGTAGACCAAATACAAAATTGATAGAAAGAAAAAAAGGCGTCAATGCTTTAAAAGAAACAAAAGATAATATTAAAATATTGAACGTCGATTCTGAACTTTTATACTGGCCAAATAATTCTAAGATCTCTAATAGTACACGTATACCTAAAAATATAACCGAAATTATATTAGAAAGAGAAAGTAACAAAGTAAAGTTGAACATATCCCAAGAGACGATACGTAACAATCATACGATGGCTCTGGAACACGCAATTTTCGGAAATGTTGATTGGAACGATGTGGATACTATAGCTCCTGTTTTCTTGTCATTTATGGGAAAATATATTAGAGGAATATTGACGTTTTGCTCCCAAAAGACGTGTCATTCCATGAAATGTGTTGATAAAGCCTGTATACATAGAATTTGTTCACCAGAAAACCGATTTAATCACAGAGGTCACTGCAATGGATCTAACAGAACAGGTTGGTTATTTAGTTAGTTAATAAAAATATTTTTGTTGAATAAATATATAAAATAAATAATAATTTTTCAGACAGCGTCGCCACAATGGAAACAGTAATGGATTTACCATCTAATTTAGCATTAGAAATAGTGGATATTTTACAAGACAAAATGTTGGGTAAAGTCTTTGGAAAGGCAACTCTTTGCATTGGCACAAAATGCATCAGTTTAGTTGCGTCAAAGAAAAACTTTTTCAAATCTAAATGTTCTATAAAAGAGCTGGATTCTTCGGGTCATTGTAGAAATATAAAACACTCTAAAGTGATGTAATACTATTGTTTATGTACCATTGTTTTAAAAATAAATGCTTCATGGGAAAACAGTAAAACTCTGACTTATTACGTTTACCTCATCGAGTACCTGATAAGAAAACGCGTACTGTTGTGTGCTGGAACGCACACATCATTTGCGATGAAAACTATTTTAAGTAATCTAAATTATTTAATAATATTATTCATAATAGTGTTTATTGTGTACCCAAGTACATATCACGCATCTAATGTAAGTCTAGTCATTTTTGTGACAGTGCTACGATATTGCAACTAGCAGTTAAAAATGAGATTAATGATTAATCAATTTTCAATATTTTAGCGAAATACTTTTTACTTGAATCCTTGGGTGAGAAATAGAGGTACAGCATCAAAGGTTATAAAATTCGATGCTGCCGGCATGGTCATAGAAGAGAGTATGCCATCGCATACATTTAACCCAATGAAGAGGCATACAAATCTTGTTGACATCAGGAAACTTTTTCAAATGTATTTCGAACAGGTGTACGGCGAACCTTTGCCTGACAAGAAGCTAAAGATATTGACCCGTTGTATTAACCATGATACAGTATGTCGCTTCCTCAGTTGTCCGGACATTGTACATTTTTGTGTTCTATGTGAAGTTAACATTATAACAAGTGAAGATGACACTACCACATGTGATATACAACCTACAGGATACCTAAATATATTACATTTTTAAATGTTTTTATAATGTATATACTATGTGCATCCTAGCTAATGTAATTTTAATTTTAAAATATTTTGAAATAAATGTTTTGAAATTACTTTTTATAAATGTCCAATATGATTTGCATTGTCATTTTTTATTTAATAAATCCTGTGATTTGAATCTTTTCATTTTAATGCATATCATTCATAAATATTTAAGGCGTTTTTTTAATTTTATACGTAAAATACATACTAATCAAAATATAGATTGATTTTTTTCGGGATCTTCTAGTTGCTTTCTTAGCCCAAAATTCCCGCATAAAACATTTTGTTTGTATAGTGGTTTTCTCAAAGATAATGAGATGGAAGACGATATGTTTCAGGGATTTTGATTTTAGAAACCAACGATTAGTCAAATGTAATTAAACAAAACAAATGCATTCCACAGGATCGCTTATCGGTCAAACAATATAAAATGTAACATTTTCATAGAAGAGCCGAGCATTATTCCTCGAAAGTAAGACGAAGAAGAAACTCTTTAATACAGTTATCTTATTTGTCTTTTGTTCAAATGTGTTAAACGTCATTTCGGTATAATTAAAAGTTTTGGGCGGTATGTGGGGCCGTGGCTCATTAAGTCAACATTCCCAAGGGCTTATCTCGGAGGAGATAGGGGCATACCGGGCCCTAGCGTATATAAGACTCAGGTGGGACTGTGCAAACATTTATTCCCTCAAAAGAGACGCGTGTTACCTGTCGTCATGTTGATCTCTAACAAATTCGTGTATTTTTTTATATTGTGCGCCATTAGCACGTCGTTGAGCAGCCCCACTGCGTGTAAGTATACAATCTATAGAGTTATATTAAAGTATTTTAATGCAGTTATGTTTTAAAGTTTCAAAAATCTAAAAGACGGGTAATTAGCGGAGCTTTTTGGAACCTTAAATAAAAAAATCCTAAGAAGAATATCTTCTAATTTATTAAATTCATATGTGCACTACTATCTTTACTATTTTCACGTATGGATTTTAATTCTCGCGATAACTAAAATTGTCCTTGCAGATGTAAGCGAGGGTCGCGGTATTGGTTCTACATTATGGGGCTGGATAACATATCCATTTACATGGTGGAGTTCATCATCCACGGAGAACGAAGTTGAAACCACAACATCGGTATTCACACACGACAACAACATAGAGATAGCCAAGCATAACGTCACCGTATGGTGCAACGACCAAACTTGCACCACTATGAAATGCGACAAACATGGCTGCAATAACATAACCTGTAATATATATGATACTGATATGTCAGGAGTGTGCAGGGAATATACTATCAAGCCAGAAGAAATTCCAACTAGCAAACCGATTACGCAAGTAACGGAAGAACAAAAGACAACTGTAGCAACAACAGTAGAGACGTCATCCTTACCAAGTGTTACGAATGCAGGAGTTGAGGAACGGCCTTTAGAGTTAGAAGCGGTCCTTTCATCTACAGTTCCAATTGATGACGAAGAAAAAGTTGAAGATCAGTCTTAATTTTACTACAATTATTTTGTAAATCATATTTGTTTGTAAGTGAAATTAATGTAGGTAAGGCAAATAACTCTAATTTAAGATGGCGCATTCGCGTACGTATGTAAATAGTTTTTTTCATATCTTTAATTACGCAAATAAGTACTCAAACTTAAAATAAGACTGCCATAGTAATTGCGAAACTAGAAACTCAGTCGTATAAAAAGGAATAGCAATTTGATTTCTTTTTAAAACGTTTGATTTTTTCACTTAATTCCATGTAATTACAACATTTGAAAACTACTAACCTGCAATAATTTATTAAAGTTAAAATGGAATTGTCCGTTAATATTGTCCATAGAATTAATAAATAAAAATAAATAAAATACAAATTAATCACTTAAATACATGGATAATTAATTTATAAATTACAAAACTGAATTAAATTTTCATATATTTAATGAGGAATAATTGAAAAAAAAAAGAACTTTATATTTAACGTCGCTGGCTATGACTAGTTGCTCATTAATTTTCAACCAATAATAATACAGTGATAATATAAGATGTTATGATAAACTATCAATGAACTTGTCATAATTCTGCTTCACAAAAGGTAAGTCGATAGATTATAAATGTTGTTAAAATACTGATAGGGAAGCTATTAATGATTCATCGGAGACAATGTCTTTGTAAACGCATACATGTCGTTGGCACTTGTAGGTACTACAAATAAGTCGGTTAATCATTATTCATTAGGCATATTTTTAGGTATAAAAACATACGGCAATTATCACCATGAGTTATTACAATCAAAAAAGTTACACCAAAACATATTGTTTATGTTGTTTTCTTCTCATTCACCGAATTAATGGATATCTTATATATAAAATTCTCGTATCACAATTTTCGTTCCCATACTCCTCCGAAACGGATTGACCGATTTTCATGAAATTTTGTGAGCATATTGAGTAGGTCTCAGAATCGGACAACATCTATTTTTAATCCCGCGCGGACGGAGTCGCTGGCGACAGCTAGTACATACATAAAGCCGAACCATTAAGAGAGCCATTGTGCGGTGCCGACGGACGTCCTCCATAAGCGAGATACCTCTAAAACCGATAACAATATCGCGGTCCCTTGGACTGTTATTCAAGATCGACTGTATTTTGCCAACAAGATATAATAATTTTAGGAATTCAATTTAGTCACAATCGATTACTGTCATTAACGAAACAATACCGCTAAGTAACTGTATTTTAAATTTAATTTTTATAAAGTAAAATCAATATAGATGTTTACGATTATAGATTAACATATCCTACCACATTGTCCCAGTTCTCTATTAGTGTAGAGACAATCAATATCTTCCTGTCGGATTTGATTAATCGAATACTTCACGAGATATAGGGCAGGAAAAGTTAAAATTTGACGTATAGCAAACGTCAACAAAACCCAAAAAATTATGTGTTGTCTAATTATGAGTTTCCACTGTCTCTAACATATTGTCATCTCTGTTTTTCCAAAGAGAAAGAAAGGAATAAAATATGTTTATGTGCAACCTTTGGACACTCACCTGATGCTGAAGCTTTCTTAATACAGGCGGTGTCGCGCTCGCCTCTGTGTCGGAGGAAATTGTCCGAAGCAGCAAGGGAGTGTCGCTTGAGTCCGCGAGCTCAGCGCCCGCCTCGCCGGGCTCCACGCCCTCGCCGGCTTGCCTTCAAAATTATATACTTTGCTTACATATACAACCACACTACTATTTAAATAATTTAGAAATTTGCATAGTGTTGATGATATTTAGAAAAACATTAGACACTATTTTTCTATTTCTTCATTCTATACCTCTTAACTAGCAACCTTCTTGACATATTTCCACTAAAATTTCAAACACCTCTACAACTTCCTGGCACATTGCCCAACAGACTTAATTTAGTTGAGAAAATAGTAAAACATTGATTAAAAAGCAAAAAAAAAATTAAAATGTTTTCAATACCTTATTAAATTTCCTAAATATAAGATTGTTATATTTAAATTTTAATGGCATTTCATTCAAAATTACAATATTTCTTCTAGCTAGTGTTATTATGTAATAATAATAAGAAATAACACCACAACATAAAAGATAAAATGTATTACATTGAAACTTATTTCGAGCTATTCTGTTACATCATTTTACATTTGTTGAGGTCAAGTCAGACTGATTCAATCATAGTTTCCTAATTTGGGATACCTTAACGATATATCTTTGCGTTCGTAACGTTTTGAAACGGTCCAATATTAAAATTTTAATTATAATCACACGAATAATTAATTAGATTTATTAAATGAAAACCGCAAAAGATATCTACATTGTGGATTTTCAATTAACGTTTTTGTTACCTACAATATTATGAACCGTTTATAAAATTCTTTCCCTGTCATCAATAAAATTAGGCACATTTAATTGATGTTTAAGTGGCACTTCCTCATTGTTTACATTATCTACATCCCAAACATAATGAGTATCTTAATTTTAATGCGAAAAATGTACAATGTGGTAAATGGTAAAGATAAATGGTTCAAATATCACCCGCTTTATACCACTCGAGCATTAAAATTATTCAAGACAATTAAATGAGGGGAAACTGGTATGTAGTATAGCTGGTCGATAGTACTTACTGGATAAAGTAGTGTATATTGACATAGTTTGGTGCTGTAGCGCTGGTGGGTGAGTCGGGTGCGCGGGGAGCGGTGGGAGCGGAAGGCGCGCTGGGTGCTGTAGGTCCTGCGCCTGCGCTTAGGGGCAGAGTGCTGGTGCCACTTGATGCATCCTCACTCGAACCAGTGCCACCTGCAAACAATAATTCTTGTAAAGGGCACTTATACTCCAAAAATCTTTCATAATATCGAGTAATTTCCACTCATTTCCTACAAATCCTGTATATTGTACTATTGGAATTAATGTCTGTCTATAATAATTAATTCTAAAAGTAAATGATAAAGGTATATTTACATACCTGCTTGTATATATACATATTCTCCATCATTGATGTCGACTGGAACTTGATCGTAATAAGGTTCATCTTCATTAGTGGGAACTGCAGCTGGGATACTCTCTAGCGAGACAGGGGCTGATTTGTCAGCATCATTCCCTTCAGGTAAGTCAGGTGTAGTGGATGTAATTTCTTCATCTATGGACCGTGGAGTTGCAGCACCTCCTGATCGTTTACGTTCAGAAGACAAAGAGTTTATCGATTCATAACTTTTTACCTACAAACAAATGTTTTGTTAGCAATCAAAAATTATCTTTTTAATGTATAAAGTAAAAATGTTGACAAAGTTTTACCCTTTCACTTATTGAGGGAGTAGATGCCCGGCTAGCGATAGACTCTCGGGACTCAGCATTCCGAAGTCTTCGTCCAAGTGAGGAAGGGGGGCTGTCCTCTGGAAGGCCACTTTCTGGTAATGATGCACCACGTTTGCTGAACACTTTCGGTGGAGGCCTATTACGAAAATAGGATATCATACTAATGTTATAAAATGTTTGTTAGTAGGTATTTTCAGAATGACTAAATTGATCTCTCTGAAATTTTACATAAATGTATAACATAGTCTGGAACAACACGCAGGCCAGGATTCTTTTAGGGTACTTACTTTGGTGGGACTTTCTTCTTTGCTGCTACCGTGGAATCTGCAGTAGCACTTTCAGGGGATTGTGGAGAGTTTTCAGTCTTTTTAGATGCATTTTCAGCTACTTTCAGACCATTTACTTCAATTACTGTTACAAAATCACCAGTTTGCGACATTGGACGGTTTTTAGCATTGGTTGGACTTTTTTGTTCTACAGCTACTGCAAAAAATAATTTTCAATTAGTACAATATTGGAACTGATTTGTATTAATAAATGGGATTTTATTGCAATATTTTACCATTACTATCATTTTCTGGCTCAGTTCTCTGTACCACTTCACTATTACATCTTCTCCGAGCCTCTACTGCTAGGTTAGTAGAGAGCTCAGTGATGCATTGGTTAACAGAACTTCTCTCCCCGATATGCACTGGTTTTGGCCTGAGGTGCACTTCTTCAGTCTCTAGTGGTTCATTAGTAAGTTCTTCATTATTACTACTTGTCAAACTAATTTCACTCTTCTTTGACAGTGAATCTGTATTTGATTCCTATAAAAAAACAGTCATTAATTTTATTTTAGCATATAAAAAGCATTTAACTTCATTGATTTTAGATCATCATCCATGAGGAGAATTATAAAATATATCCCTTTAGAAATTATTTTGATGGAAATCCTTAAATGCAATCACAATGTTATGTCACATTTTATTTTTTATAAACAAATAAAATAATTTAAGATACAGCATTAATATACCATAACAAAACATGTAACACTATGAGAAATTCAAATAGCAGTCTTATAAGGAAATAATTCACTAGAGCTTACTGCTCATGCAAGAAATGATGTGTTAAAATTTCAATAAACAATGGTGACTGTCATGGTTATATATTCATTTATCTGTATTATAAATGAATCATTATATAGTACTTCACTACACATATATCATTTACTATATGTATATAAAATACATACAATTTTTTTTAAAGTATGAGCTATCACTTCTCTTCTTCATACAAAAATTAACTTGAGAATAAGAACAGTAAAAGGCGTATAATGGCAGATCCTGAAATTCCTCAGATTAGAGAAATAAAAAACAGAATTATTGACATTTTTATATGTTTCTTCTATAGGCTCCTATACTATATTTATTGCAAGTGTTTTGGCATTGCAATCTTAGATGTAACGGTAATAATAACCTACATACATTATTTTACAAATGTTTAATGATCCAAGTACAAGATACAGTTAATTGATAATCAATTGTAATGCAAAACCTGTTATTAATAAATATTCATAAGATTTCTATGAATGATTGTTACGTTGCTCTTCTGCAGTACATTTAGTAGGCTTAAAGATAATTATGTAATAAAAAATTATTTTCAATAAATATTTTATATTTTTTCTTAGAATAACACAATCTGTTGAGACAAATAAGATGATTCATACTAGTTGCCCTTAAGTCATACTAATAAGAAAATTAATGTCTTAGACATCAGTGGAATAGGAAATTATTTTCTTTAAAACTATACCATTTTTAACTAGATAGCAGATTTCGTGAGAATTTTTAAAATGAACATATTAAAAAAAAAGAAAACAAATGTTACTACAATCCTATCTAATGTTTATTATCAATGTTGTTTTGTAAAAATTATAAAGGTAACACGATACCTGTTTGCTATCAGAAGTCTTATCGTCATGAGTGTCAGTCCCAGAGGGCGGCGCCGCCCTATTGCTTTGAGCAGCTGCTTTGTGCTTTTCAACATCTGACAGCAGTGTCTCCAAATATTCAACGTAAAATTCTTCCTTCTCCAATTCTTCTCTAAGTATAGCTACTTTTTGTTTATGTTTAGCCAAATTGGCCCTGACATCTTCTTCCCAAGCGGCTGGCAAGGCACTTTCAGGAAATCGTTGCACCCACACACGTTGAAAATCCCCGAAGACACTCATCTCTCACAAAACGATTTCATGACAATTTTATGTTACAATTATTGTCAATAACAGTATTACACACTAGTTTCAATGTAAAAAACGTATCAGAAATTCTGTCATCTCAAAATGTAATTTTTATTATCTTCTTATATTTTTTATACTGTCAGGTACTTGGGCTGTGGTATATATTCCGTACAGCCAAAAAGTCTCCATATGTCATAAAAGACTAAGAAATATCTTCCAAGACTTTACTGAAGAATAATTGTAAAATGTTAATGATAATTAATAAATTAAATTCCTATATATTTTTTCCTGTTTATTCTAGAAATATTAATTTCATGTCGCTTTTAAATTTAACAATTGAAAAATATTTTATTTTGTGGGTGGTTAGTTTTTATAACTTTTATGGTTGCCTTCAAATAAAATAAATTGTCCATTTAAGTTTAAGGTGATTAGTTTGACAATTGTCGTCTATGAAGTGTCGATTTAATTTTGTATGACGATTAATATTGTACTTAATGAAAGGTTCTCATAGTGTTGACCGTGCACGGATAACGAACGATCATGAAGTATCGAGAATCGGTACTGTGATAAAATTAATCAAACAAAATAATACTGTAATATAGGTATTTTATTCCTTTTTAAAACAATATAACTGTAAATTTAGGATATGTATCACACAATTGGCTAAAAATATATTGTGATGTGTATAAACATCAACAACATCACAGTTCTTGGTTTAATGTTTTATATCTTTATGTAGTTTTGGATAATAAAATATTTTTTATTGTAATTCAAAAACAAGTTACAAAATGTTCGATTGCAACTTGTATGAGATAAACTACAGAAAATATTTCGAATTTTCGATATTCATAACAGATTTTACTGAACATCTCTAGTGAATTGTCAAACTAATCTTCCATAAATAGACATACTATAAATTATTTCAATAAATGCTATATTGAAATCCTAATAAAATCATTCAACATTTTTTTATTATGATTAAATCTACCTAGGCATCAAGATGGATAAAAACTATATAGAAAAGATTATAGAAGACTTAAAATCTACATCATCAACTTGTATTCATGATACTCTTTTAAAAATTAAAAATAATATAATTTGTAATGATAAGGGTCTGAAAATATTTAGAGATTGTGGTGGCTTAGATAATTTGTTACCTCTTCTTCGAAAACCAAATGAAAGGATATTGAATACAGCTTTGAGTGTTCTTGGCAATTGCTGCATGGATGAAACAAGCAGTCTTATGGTATGTATAGTCGTTTTGTCAACACAAATAAATAGTACTATCTAGTTTAAAACAAAGTTTAGAATGTCAGTGGTCTAGTGGAATAATAATGGACACTAGACTTGTTATATTAGCGGTCCTGGGTTTGATCCCCTCTCTGTTCTAATGAATTTTTACTTTTCGAATTCTTTATGTTATATTCTTATGGTAAAGGAAATCTCGCTCTTTGATGGCGATGCACATGAACTAAATCACAAGACTTATATAGACTTAAGACTTTAAAAACTTACATTGTAATCATTTTTAAGGTTGGCAAATTAAACATTTTTGGTCCTCTTATATCAATATTAAAGACTGTATATCGGGACAGTATATTGGGAAGGACTTGTAGACTAATAGGCAATTTGGCACAAAGACATTCCAATGCAAAAGGATTACATGAACATGGAGCCGTAGAAGTGCTTGTTACTTTAATTGAAAACAGAGATAAAAACACATCTATTGCTACTTTAACAATGGCTGTTAGGGCAATAAGGTAAGAAAATCACTTCTTTGAATATAAAAGAGGAAATTAATGTAACTAAATCCATTTAAATTAGTATAAATGTTATAGTATTTTTCAAATATCCTGTTGACTAACCCTGAGCTATTTGCTGCACAGTGCCCTCGCCCTGTATGCCTAAAATGAAAAAATGTATGTACCTAAACCCAAAATTCTGACTCATGCAATGTTTCAAACCACCAATATATTTGAAGAATACTATATCTATTCATTATATTATACTTTACTACATATTCTATTAGTGTAGCATATAGCATTTAATTTAATTCTGTATGTTGTACCTTGTTATATCTTATATTCAGTGGATTGATTGTCAAAATGTATGAGTTTAGTATAGCAGTAAAACCTTAGTATAAGTAAACATTCGCTTTTTAATTCTAAACAATTTTATATACTCTAGGCAACTTTGGATGGTAACAGACAAAAGGGAGGAAATGCTAAGTGTAAATGCTGTAAGGTGTATTACTGTATTGTTAACAGTGCAATGTGAGTCTGCTGGTATCATAGAGTCATCTAATCCCACTAGTGATGTAGAGGAATTAAAAAAAAGCCATGAAGAACTAATTAATGGTATTCTGAAATGCTTAGGATACTTTACAACATACACAAATCCTCAGTGTTTTGAACAGGTATTAAGAAACATTTAGATTTTTATGAGTTCATTTATCTGTACCATCTTACCATTATTTAAGTACTTTTTCAGATACAGGGTGATGGAAGGGGTTATAAGTGTCTAGTTGCATTGACAAAATTATTTGAGTCTACTGCACTAAAATGCTTAATCAATTTATGCTATGTCCCATCTTGTCGGCCCCTTTTGGGCACAGCTGGCCTTGTGGAATGTTTAGTTGGCATATTGCAAAAACTTTCCGGTAATTTATTAAATATACTATAACATATATGTTAGATCAGATGCTATTAATATAAGATGTATTCTTGTATTATTGACTTGCTTTTATATTGAGTTAGAGAGTTGATGAAATTATTTTTCAGATGTAGCATGGTGGCCGGAGGGATCGGCAAAGGCTCTTGCCCTATTGAGCAATGACTCAGTAAACCGGTGTCGTTTGCGTCATTGCGGTGGCTTGCCACTGCTTGTGTCCGCAGCACGAGTTAACTCTTATGTCCTGCATGCTTTACTGCAATACTATTTTGATGACTCGGGTTAGTTAAATTGCATACTTTGTTATGGTGAATTTCTTAAAATATTATTTAATAGCATTAAGAGTTCTATATCAGTTTGTAATTCTTGTAAGAATTATAGCATGTTTTCTTTATTTTCACTACTTAAAATAAAATCAATTCACTTTAACCTTTTTTGCATAGTAAGTCTGAAAATATGCTTAATGCAACCTTAATTTATTTTAGCATTCCAAATACTTGTTAACGAGGGACTAATTAGCGTACTGACTGACAAGTTAAATGATCATCTTACTACAATGGATTTTGAACACAAACGAATTATGAAATTGATAAAAGTTAACAGAGGACAAAATGGTGTAAAAGAGAAAAATAATGAATGTAGTGATTTAGAAGAACTAAATATAGAATTACTTAAAGTGATTGGTGGAATTGAAGATGATGATGAGAGTCGAATTGATTACGACATTCCAATTGCAAAGCGAAAAAAGGCGATGCCGGAGGATACCAAGCATTTAAAACTTGTAAGTATAGTAAAACAAGGTCAGAATATATATGAAACCTATTTAGACATAGAAAATGACTTAAAAATACATGACGGTTATAATACAATGTGGATCTTGCGATATTTTTGACGTTACCAGGGGGCGCTAGTGAGCTTAGTGATTCTGTTTTTTTTTTCTTTTTTGTGACTGAGTAGTCACTATTTGCCTTAAAGAGGCATTTACAGCTTCACCAGGCTTGAGGTGGCCGAGCGCAGATGGCGCTTAGCCTGAACCTCGTTTAAGATAGTAATTCTGATAGCCTTGAGAGTGTATAGATAAAAATTAAAATGTTTAACATTTTATCCAAGGACAAAGGTTCTCTTGCATGACTCAATAATAATTCATACCTTTTAAATTTCTGAGTAAGTTTCTGAGAAAAATTATATATAAAATTTTCGTGTTAGTTACCATATTCCTCCGAAACGGCTTGACTGATTTTTATAAAATTTTATATACATATTCATAATCTGAGAATCGGCTACTATGTGTTTTTTAATCCCGCGCGGACGGAGTCGCGGGTGATAGCTAGTAAATTATAATATGCAGTAGATGAAGTACAGAATATGTTTTGTTGTCTAGATTGTCGAACCAAGTGGTCAAAAGAGACCTTATGATTTGAATTGGGAGCGTAAGTACAATGAATCGGTATGTAAAGTTCTATCGCAAATACCGGTAAGTCCAGATCGAAGTGACACATATCCTACGTCACCTTATTCTGATACGAATCAATCTGGATTGGCAAGTCCTGAATATGGACCGACAAGGAAAAGGATGCGATGGGATTGGAGTCCCGAGTCAAGTGTAAGCGCCGGAGAGGGTAGTTCTGCGTCACCATATTGGGCTGATTGGAGTCCTCAAAGTTCCAGCTGTCCCACTTCACCATATAGTATTAATGAAGGTAAAAAATCTTGTTTTACATTCCTTTTTAAATTAGAAAAATTATTTATTTATCTAATTAATATCCTTGTTCTTTGTATATTTTTTCTATGGCGTAGATAGTGCAGATTCAGAAATTTCGGGTAGATATTCGCCAGTATGTAGCGAGCCGGAAATAGAGGATGGCGGCAAACTGCCAGGGAGTGAGCTCCTCGCGCTAGAAGTGACAAGGGTCGACCATGATTTAGACGAGTTGGATATGGGTGAAGATAAAAGTGACGATGAAGAAACCTCACGAGGTAATCTTAGAATTTTACATCAATGTTATGATGAGTTTAGCACTATTGCTATCTCTATTTTTTTAAAGAGATTGATAAGGATGGAAGTATAGTTGTGACATGGAGTAATTTGCCACATTAAATGTTGGTGTTAAAGATTTCTCTGTTAAATAAGAATGTAATCTAACGAAATCTATTCTATACTTTTACATGATTAAACTATTTCTTGCAGAAGATGCCAATAAGTTTAACGTGAATTCGAAAATCGAATTATCGGACATATCGTGCGTTTTGGTTTTACTATTTCGTGTATCGCATGGGGCGTCTTACGATACACAACAGGAAATAGACCCAACTGATAGGATAGACTTACTCGCCGGCCACGATTGCTTAAATGGTCTATTGAATTATCTCGAGCGTTGTAAGTCACCCCTCGGCAATCCAGCAAGGATACTAAAGAAAGTTTTGAGGTATATGTAATTTCAAAAAAAATGTTATTATTATTACTATGTTATACTGGCTCTCGCCCGCGACTTCGTCTCGTGGAAATAAAAAGAAAACTTAATTAGTAGCTTATGTGTTCTTTCGAGACGATGTTATATATTCATACCAAATTTTGTCAAGATCTGTCGAGCCGTTCTGGAGATACCTTAAAACCAAAATCCATCCATCCATCCAAACATTCACATTTATTATATTAGTCAGATTTTATTTTCAATTAATTTTTAATTACAGCAGTGCTCGGTGTTTTATGAATATATTGAAACATAGATTTCCACTTAGATTATATAATATGACACAATATTCAAAACATCCAAGAAATGAATGTTTACAATGTAATCAGGTGAGGTTAAGTGATTGAAAATTTGCTTTTATTGTTATCGAGTTTATTTGATATGATTCCTTTAATAATGTTGTGTTTTTAGGTTTGTAATTTAAGTTTAAAACTCCTGGCTCGATTAACTGTACTTGCTGAATCTAGCTATGGAATAGGAGAGATAAGTTATCAATTGCTCAAGGGTAGTCCGGACATGAAGCAGACTCTGTCTATTACATTGCCTTATATAGTAAGGTTAGTAAAATTAAAAGGATTTTATTATATATTATATTTAAAAAAATTCTAGCATAGTCCATGGTATATATTTACTTACATTGATATTAATAATGCTTTAATTTTTACAGCACTGCAAAACCTTTGAAAAAATATTTCATAGATTGCAACGCGTTAAATGAATTACTTAATATAATTTCCGAATCCAAAGAAGACAATGAAATCAGTATCATGGGGTTAGTTAAATTAGCTAATAACGTACATATTAAAGATCCAAAGATGTTGGAGAATAGATTTAAAGACAAAGTATCCGTTAGTTACGATCCAATACTTGACAATCTTTTAGTCGATGATATTGTCACTTTCGAATTAGACGATCTGTCGACAGTGAGAGCGAACAAATTATTTCTTTGTCAGAATTCGGATGTATTTAGCGCAATGTTGATGGGATGTTTTAAGGAATCCGGCGAAAGTTGTGTAAGATTAAAAAAAGCATCTAAATCGGCATTGGAATATTTGTTTACTCTATTACAATGTGGTTTGAACAATCCAAAGAGTGATATTATAATATTTCCAATGGCAGAAAAATTGGAGACAAGTCTCGAAACGTTATTATTAGCAGATAGATTCTTATTTGAAAGATTAAAAGATATATTGAGTAGCGGTATCGTGCAGTTTCAACTGTGCGCAGAATCCGCTGAACGGATTTACGTTTGGTCATTAGGTGATGGGATGGGGTTTTTATGTGTTGAAGCAGCCGCGTATTTGTTGACGGGGGAAATGAGTAGAATGCAACGTACGCGTTCTTTTACTAACATTCTTTCTTTAAAATATAAAGATCAGTGGCTTGACGATATTAAATCAATGATCATGAGGCAATTGGTAAAATGTTAAATTTTAGTGATGTACTTTCGCCTAATAACTTTCCATTCGATACTAAATTTTATGTTTAGAAATTTGATATCTATGGTGTAAGGTAAATTGAGTAAATCCAATATAACTTTGTGTGAGTTCATCAATATTTCGAAGATTAGTTATTATATTTTATACAACTATGTTATAAATGTACTAACCAGGGCTAAATGTATATAAATGCTTCCAAAAGGATTCAAACCTCGCGTTATTCAATTATCTATATACTGTAAGATGTTTAAGAAGTATGTACATAACAAAAATATGTGAGAAGGGATTAGTGTTATGTGATAAACAATTTGTCAGTGTAATTGGGTAGGTGTTAAAAAGTTATATAAATAGAATAATTGATATGTTCGTAAGGACTAGTCACTTTTGCTATTATGATGGTGGTTGATATGAAGATGAGGACATTTTGTTTGTTTTATTTTTCTTTGTCTGTGTATATCCCTATATATAAATGAAGTAGAATGTAAATAAAATTTTATGTGAATATAATTCTTTATTTGAAATCTTGTATAATATAATTAATGAAATCTTGATTGCATTGATTTGGTAAACAAAGTGATTAATCTATATTACAATTATTTAATTATATTTTACATGTTTTCTACATATAATTCCTATTAATATAAGTTTTTAAGATTAAAATTAATTAATTTGCAAACATGATTGTTTTGTTAAGTCTCCTTAGGGTAGAGGAATAATTCAACATGCCTGTCTGGGACTAAAACTTGGCAAGTGATTGGTTTAACGTTTTCACCATTTATCTTAAAATTAAAATTATTTACAATCTGAAAAAAAATTACACAAATAAAATAAAATTTTATGTTTTAAATGGAATTAGTTTTTCGTCTGCATTTAAGTTTTTTTATAAGAATTTAATTAAAGCATCTATTAGTAATGAAAAGTTATGCATATTACCTGCTGTATTATCTCTGTAAGTTGCATCATAGCAATTCTCTTCCCAATGCAAGTTCTTGCTCCCAAAGCAAAAGGCAATGTTGCGGAAGGCACATGGTTCTTGAGACCAGCTTTTCTTGGATCATTTCTATCCCATCGATATGGCAGGAACATGTGAGCATTGCTGAAATTTAGTTCATCACGGCCTGAGGTATATATGGAAGCAATAATTGGGGTCTGGAAGAAAATATATATGTTAATGTAATTAAAATAAAATGTGCAATGAATTATAAAAAGCATATAAACATAATTAGAAAAATATTTGTAATTTTTTTTAGAAAATAAATAATATTTTTATGTACATTTACTATGTCCTCTTTGGAATTATCTTACTAATTGTTAAACTTATTTCATCTTTTATGTGAGTGTAAGGATGCTCCAGTTCACTAGGGGCTTCGGGAATTCTTAATTTTCTTCTCAGTTTTGGTGATAGCAGGCACAAGTTCTGTATTAGTCCAAAGCTGCTTGATGTAAACCAGTACAAACACATACATGAAGGCACACTGGCCGCAACTGGTATCATTACTATTGATAGAGCTCTAAATGCATTTGTAAAGATATTATACACTTTGGATGGTTTCCGCAACTTTGACATTCTTTGTATCTCAATTATTGCCAAGTTTGTTAAGCCAAATGCAACTGGTAAAATTAATGAATGATCTGGTTCAGTTAAATTTGGTATCCAACCAAAACCACCCATTGACAGCTCCATAAAAGTAACCATAGCAGCAGCAGAACTAGGGTCTGTATAAACAAGGTTTCTAAGTGCAAAAGACATGCAAACCCATACAGGTATTTGAAACCAAATGACTAAGGTGGCTTTGAGTGGGTGACAATTATCTCTAACTATGAGATTTCGCCATTGCTTTTTCAAAGATCGTTTGTACAATATAACAGTCTGTTTATCTGTTAAATTATAAGCTTTCCTAGCTATAGCTGTTTCTTTTTTTAATTCATTTACCAAATCTTTTAATTCTAAGCTTATGTTCTCTACTTTTGCCAAAATGTAATTCTGATAAACGGTTAAGGGTAATGTCATCAGTGCTCTGATAAGTATTGTAGATGTTACAATGGTAGTGCCCCACGTTAGACCAGTTGCTTCATGAAAATTAAGTAACCCGGCTTCCATTAATTTTACTAGATAACTGTTTGATATGCCAGAATATAAATCAGTTTGCCATTCGACAAACGATTGTAAAGAAATATCACGTTTGGCATATAAATGAGGTGGAATAATTTTTCTACGTAAAATCTGCGTATTTTCTGATCGTCTATGAATTTCAAATGTGTGCTGTGGAAATCCATTGCAAATTATACTAAGACTTCGATATTTTATAAGATTTGTCGGAAGTAATCGCAGTTTCGATAATCCAGTATAGAAAAGCATTATTTCTTATATATTTTGGTACTAAAGAGAAAATATAAGTATCAATAAACCATTTGATTCACATAATTTAGCCAAAGCAAATATTTTAAATACAGAAATATAACCTCAACAACCAATGTCAATTTGACAATTGTAATAGCATAAACAAAGATATTTTTTGACAAATTAGGCTTACACTCTTTTATAGTATAAGAATTGTTGTTGAATTATTAAAAAACTTTAACTTATTTCGACACAAAAAGAAAGATTCATATTTCTGTACTTAGGATTTGCTATAGAAATCGCATTTATATTTTTTATATGATATGTATCTACCTTTTATTGAACATGTTTTTGTTACACTTACCCCTTTATTAATTTTATATGGTCCCAGCAAACACTCTTGGGGTAATATTCTCGTTAAAAACGGAGCCACTGGATATAGGCGCATTGTTTCCTTGACCACGTGTTTTACAAATGAGGAACCTTGTTCACGAACATCTTTTATAGCCTCATTGTTTTCAGAGAGCATTAAAAGTGACCAAAATGTGGAGTAAGAAGTCTGTAACATAAATATGTGTGCAACGCCGTTCAGTAGAAAACTGATGTATTTTAAAGTTTACAAGTTATGAACAACTCTTTAATACCGTGTCTCCAGCAGCAATCACAAAATCCACAGCAATTTTTTTAATTACTTCATCGCTAACGTTGTCGTCGCTTAATTTCTTTATCAATCCATTAGTATTGTTTTTATTCAAAAGAATTTCATTGACAATTTTTTGTGCTGAAACCAAGTTATCTTTGAAAGTTATATAAATATAATATTAACTTGTGTAGGATTAATGTGTAAATAGAACAAATTCGATTAATATTTGGCACATGAATTCTCGTACTAGTCAGCAACCACAAAAGAGAAGTACTGGGTAAACTTTACATACCCAAAAAAATCGAAGAATCAACACTATCCTTAAAGTCGGTCCAAACTTTTAAATTTAACCTTTGACATAAATTTAACGGTAGGCCATATAATTTAGTTGTCGTCTGAAATATTTTTTTGACTTCTTGCGAGAAAAGTGAAATCAAATCTTCATATTGCCTACTCTCCGAAAGTTTCGAATCCGCGCCAAGAAGCACTTTAATTATAACTGAAAAGGTTGAAATATTATAACCACTCTTGTGAAACATACTTCTGTTTATGTAGTTTCAAAACATAAAATACTCAAACACATAAAAGTAAACCAAAACTACCATCTGTAGACAATTTGTAAAGTTCCACATCCAGGTTTGAAATGACGCAACTTGCACCCGCCGCCCGATTTTTCCATTCTCCAACAAATTTTTTGACTGTTTGTTTTATAGGAGTTTCCAACCAAGCGTCGGAATTTTCCCGAAGCAAATGTTTGTTCATTATTCGACGATTTTCCAACCATTCTTCGCCATTCATAAAGAATAATCCCCTTTTAAAATTGTATAATTTTTCGTATAAAATCCATGGTTCAGGTAATATGTGTACAGGATATTTTCCTTCAAGATTTAAGAATAGTGACTTCATCAAATCAGAATCACTAATGAATACCAAATCTGTGTTTCCACTTAATTTTTCGGTAAAAATACTTCCTAATTGTTTGTGTCTCGCATCAATGTAATCGTGGAGCCTGTTCAAAAAAAGTAAAATGTTACGCAAACATATCTTCTTATTTTCATTAAATTCCTATGGTTGTTTTGCTTACTTGGTACCTCTCCCTGCTAACAGAAAATCTAGTTTTGTCCCGATTATGGGTAATGTTTTCGGTCGCGGCATATCTTTAATCGTTAAGGTGAGTGCGTATTGCTCTGCTGAATTAAAAATGGATCTATGAAGACCTTTCGAAATGCTTGATAAACGATGCATTTTTACGCTGAAAATTTAAAAACGAAATCGGGGTGATAACTTGTTTAAATTGTAAACCCTTTCCTCATCAAACATCTCCAAGATTTAAACGACCTCCAAAAAGTAAAATACATGTCGAAACTCTCCACAGCATAATCGAAATTGCCACCAGCGTGGGGTCTTTTTAGTACAAGTCCTAACAGTATGTGGTCGCTAAAGACCTTCGGTCAAAAGCACATCTTTTCGTTTGTGTTATGATTAATAAAACTAAAAAGTGATGATCGTAATTTATACTTAGTAAATTATTACTTAGTAAAAGCCTTGGGTTCGATTCTCTGTTTGATATTAGTAACCTTCCGTGCTTGGAACGAGCTTTTCAACTTGAATTAAATACCATTATAATATAACAAAATATTCGAATATGTTATGGTAAGTCAATACGTTTCCTAGAGAGAAGTCGGTGCAATTGTAATTATGCAATCTGAACCAACTAGGGTATTAGCTAACGAATACAAAGAATGCATGGGGTTGTCCATATACGCACGAACACAACTATTTTTTATATTAACTAACTTTCAAAACATGGTTAAGAGATGCAAGTTAGTCCCAAACCACACTAACCAACATTAATAAAATACAATGAGAGTTACTTTTATCTTTGTTGATTAAAGAACTATTAAAAGCGTAATCCCAGTCTGAAGTTTACGAAAATACTTTAAATATAACGGTAATGGGTTAAAATGAACACCACGTACCTTTTGATAAGTAGTGAGGCAACTGCAAAAACTTTCAAAAGTTATAATTTTTATTTATGAAACAAGAAACCAAATAGTTTTTAAAAATAATAGGAAGTTATGGCTTACGACTGTAAGTTCCAACAGAATATCGAACGGACTGCGTGTATAGCAAGCGGTGCTGCTATAGTAAACTTATAATTCGCTGAATAATACATAAATAACGCTGACCATTGGTCTAAGTTATGCTAATTTGAAACGAAACACATTGATCTTTTTTTCCTTTCAGGTAGTCTCTTTTCCTTTATGTTATTTGGTATTTTAAGAATTATTACCAATTATTACTATGGATAAGGCTTTGGTAGCAATCTTACACAAAAATTACAATTAACAAGACCTTATCTTGGACGTTTTGAATTGTTATTCAATTTTTTTATAAGTATACTTATACGACTTATTGATTTTTAAGAGGCACTATATTTCTGTATTTTAAGTAATTACTTTAACGGCCTT